GTCATCTCAATGTGTTTCATTATTTTTCCATCTCTGTTTGATTGTTTTACAGTTTTATTTTAACACAGAATGTTCCCTCGAATTGCATGGGTGGGTCTGTTGCACTGCAAAAGACTGAAAGACACAATATCTGACTATAGAAATATCAGATAATGTTTAGGCCACAGCTCAATAATGTGGCTGTAAAAAGGGAATTAACTTTATTATCAAAAGTTGCTTCTTACTAAAATGGAGTCTGTTAATTTAACAGTAATGTGTTTGTTTGTCGATGTTTGTCAGACTGCTGGAGAAGAAAGTCTCCAATTTTGTTACAGCTCAGCTCCTTCATTATATCATAAAACATTAAAGATGTTTGTTAGAATGTAGGCGCAAGACAATCACAAGCAGCAGATGTCAAACTACACAATACGATACAGTCCCACTTCAAAATGTAGACAGGAAGTTAAAAGACAAAACAACGGAATTAGTTTGCTAACATTAGTGGTAGCCATAGACTGTATTAAAATATTGGACGTAGTTATCATGATGTCGACCATTGGTTTGAAGCCTCGAGTTTAGCATTTAGACCTTCACCATGTTATTTTTTTGGAGCCAGAACTGACCATATTTGGATGAGAGGGTGGAGCTGTTGAAGAGTGAGGGTTGGATCTAACTAAGAGCGCCAGGACAGTTGTCATGAATGGGGAAATTACCCAAATAATTTTCAGTACCATGCTGTAAACATGTTTGTTTACAATAAAGTTAGAAGGTTCTATGGGGATTGACTTGCTCTTGGAGCCAGCCCCAAGTGGCCATTAGTGAAACTGCAGTCTTTGGCACTTCTATGTTGGCATTTTTCATGCCTGGAGGCTGCCATTTGGTGCTAGCTCAAATACTAATGAGTTAACTGAACTCTACCTTGGACGTCACAATGATACCGTACCACTTTCAAATTCATTGCTGTGACCTCAGACAGCTAGTGAGCGTGTGTATCTGTCCTTTAATACAGTGTCTTCACTGCTTTAAGCCTAATCTCCGCTAACCTTGTTGTATCGGCCCACAGTGAGCTCCAGGTTGGCCACATACTGCCAAAGCTGCCCCCTGGTGGTGTAGATCTGCACCGCAGTTTCAGGGATGGCCTCGGTCTGTCTGGCCTCCAAATACTTCACTTCTCTCAGCACAGACGCCAGCTAGGAAGACATTGAAAGAGAAATTAGACATATGAATACACTGAAAACAATTGAGAGTTTTTTATCAGCACAGACTGCTATTAGTGTCTGCCAATATTTAGCATCTTTACTTTTAAGACCAATTTCACACTATAAACAATTTTACAGACGTGCATCCAACACTAGAGTTTCGGTGTTGGTGGTAGAAAACTTTCTACTAAAACTCAGATTAATGAGTTGTAGGTTAGCAATGCTTTAGGGCAGCGTGATCCAACATTACGGTCTTTAAATGAAAAATTAAAATACTGGCCCAACTAATTAAAAAGATGAACTTTATCTGAAAGATTTATATTCAGCTGCAGGCAGATGTACAACACTTACTAGAAGATATTTATTACAAGAGATCAGCTTGATATATCACCAAACTAATAAATCACTCAGATCCTGTCCACGGGTATTCAAAAGAATTACAAGCAGTCCCACATCTTGCAGCTTGTCTTGGATCAGTTTTTCTTTTTCAAACCTGCGGGTTGAAGTTGACTGAGATCAGCTGAGTGGTTGGGTCTCTGCTGATTAATGGCAAGCTGAGGTTGTACTGAGAACTCTCGCCCACGGTCTCTGTCCATGTCTCATACAGGCTGGCTGAGTATCTGGAATACCAAACACAAAGAACGCAATCTGTGATCACAATCAAACAAAAGTTATTATCACAGAAAAACAATTTGTACCTTTCCCGTCAGGGTATAACATTGTTTCAGAGTCCCATTAAAAGGGCCGGCACTTTTATTTCACTAGACCACGGGCGTAAAAACAGCTCACATCATGGAAATTAACATAAGCGAGAGAAAAAAACAAGCAGCTAAGAGGCATATGATTGAGACATTTTCCCAATCCTCAGAGGTTGTAAACAGAATGAGAGGCGTAATTCATTCGTCCACATCAGGCAGACAGTAAGGCATAGGGAGAGGTAGCGGTGAAGGAGAGTTAGACTTAGGTGCGGGGGGGGTAATATGAGGATAAACGCTGATTCATCTGCGAAAGACTGGGAACAGAGAATATGTCAGGGCTCGGTACAGCTATATCAATCTGTAAATAGCCACGATTATGATGAGAACTTCAGTGCGCACTGTGTGCTCCTTATTGGATTTCTGCTGTGAGCTTCATTTCCTGATAGTGGCACCTCAGACGCAGAGGCAATCAAATGCCTTGGTCATGGCCATAAATCACGCTACATTTTGTCTGTGGGGGTAATGAGTGAGCATGCCCGTCCTGTTCCTGACTGGAATATGTATAATAACGGTGGCATTCATCGGAGGCAGCGGCGATGATTATTACAGCATAACAAGGGCTCTAATTTCTGATGGGAGTAAATTGAGGGCAAAGAACTGGTGTTGTTCATCATTCCATTACTCTGGGTGGGGGAACATGAAGTGAAGGAGTGATATTAGGCGTGCAAAGCATAAAGAATGGCCGTTTGTCTGGGTGTGTGTCAGTGCATCTCATTCACAAAATACGTCTGGGTATAGTGGACACACACACACACACACACACACACACACACACACTTTCATGATGATTATAATGATTTTCTAACCTTTAACCTCCCACAATGCATACTCAATTTGAATAATTACTGTAACCTAACACTAATATCAATCTAGGCTCAATAAAGGCCTGCAACAAATGAGAACTGTCATTATCAATTAATCTGCCAACTAAACATACAGAGAAGTGCTGCTGTTTAATCTGCCCTCACTGATACAAATGGGGTAGACAAAATGAAAGAAAAACCCAGTCAGTATAACACAGGAGAATTTATTGCAGGTAAGCATGAAGATGATACATGATTTTATCACAGACTGCAATAAAAAACACTCACAGTAAGTTGATCGTGGTGAATTTCTATTATTGGGATAATTATGAATATCAAGTCCAACAGCGACCAAAGCAACTGCTGGGAAACCAACGATAAAAGACTCTGCAAAAACAGGCTGCATACACACCAGCCTTAAAATAACACAAGATCTTAATCAAACATTAGCATATTTCATATCAAAAGCTATTATGTCATTTCAAATAGTTGAAATGTAGAAAAATATAATGTTATAACAAAATGTAAGGTAAAGTGATTCCACTATTTTTAGTGCCATTTTAAGAGTTTTAAAAGAAAATTTCACCATGGAAGCCTATAAGAACAACAAACTTTTCTTCACGGATTCAAATTAAAATGCAGTGAGTAACTGATATAAAAATTTTAAGGGTGAAGTATTCCTATTAGAATATTTTGATGATTGTATAGAGTATGGTGACATGACATTTTCATATCGTCCCATGCCTTAATGCAGGACTGTATTAATGCTAGCTCGCTGGACCTTATACCTAATTAGCTAACCATGCAACTTAATGTATTTATGCCATTTTATTTCAGTGTCCAAATTCTGAGTGCAAATGTATGCACTATATAGTGCAATCAAAAATTCTCACAATGAAATTCATATTCTACTGTTGCATAAATAACAGTCTATATAACAGTATATCAATACAATGATGCAAAATGACAATGATTCCAAGGATCCAAAACAGGGCTGGGTAATATATTATACAAATATTGTGATTTAAGATTAGATATCATCTTAGATTTTGGATATCTTAATATTGTAAGTGCTGTAAGGCTACATAACAGTAAGGTGATGTAATTTTACGAACCAGACTGTTCTAACTGTTCTATTATTTGCCTTTACCCACTCAGTCATTATATCCACGAGTGATGATTATCTATCAAAAATCTCATTTTGTAAATGTTTTGTGAGAGCACCAATAGTCAACCCTACAATATCATCCCAACATCAATATCGTGGTATTTGGTCCAAAATATTGTGATATTTAATTTTCTCAATATCGCACAGTCTGCATCTAAAATCTCAATTTACTAGTTATGATTCTTACATTACCCCCAAAGTCAAACTTCAAAGTGGCTAAGGGAAAAATGGAGAAACACGTTCATCCTATGGAATTTCTCATTTTTGTATGAGGACATTTCTTCAAAAGTATAGAAATGGAAAATCTATCTGACTCTCATGAAACTCATCTTGATTCCATTGAAACAGCATTTCCCCCTCCAATGTGATGCTTTATCTTGCAGGTTTTGATGCTGGATGTAGTCTAAAAGGCCATTTCTCACTTGGCATCACTGAGCAGCGACAGAGCATATGGGATTATGGGAGTCCTATGAAATAATCTACAGAGCAGCGCCACAGTAATGAGAACATAAATCATGCCTGGAGCTCCATGTCTACATGCTATTCCACAGGGGCTGCTTCATAAATGTTATACACTCAACTGACAAAATCACAACTGTTCAGTTTAAAAACAGCGCTGGTATAAAATTACAGGGGAAAAAACGTCAGAGACAGAGCTACTATCTGATTCATGTTGGCTTTTATGATATTTACAGTCCAATAAGAAGGCGTTCTATTCTGTCACTGTCTATTCTATTTTATCTTTCTCTCTGCTCTTTTTATTCAGCAACACATACATCAAGCATGATGACATATAGTGTAACACACTGAGACAAGATCCACACACACCTGTCCAGCAGTTGCATCATCTCCTCATACTTCTGGATGACCCTGGCTCCCTCTGCGGACTCCAGGCACCTGCAGAGAAGATGGGATTTTACAACCCATGCAAAGGTTATATTCAGCATCATTCCAGTGGCCAATATTCCAGCAAATCATTTTTTTGTGTGGCCTTTATAACAACTCACATTAATTTACACTGAAACCGCTGGAAATGCATGGCCACACCAAAATTCATTTTTTTATCTGCTGTGTTTGAGACAAGAGGGGGGACTCACGGGTAGGAAAGGTGTCTGAATTTGGAGAAGGGGGTCTGGATGCGCTGCTGTAGCTCCTGAGCCCATCTCAGCCCACCAGCTACAGCTGGCATGTTCTTATTCACTGGAGTCCAACCTGAGCAGGTTAAGAATCATTACTCACTGTTAGACACATACTTACCACAAAGTCAGTGAAAGACTGAGAAAAAATGGTCAAGCTGAAGTTTGGTGGAGCTATGCTGAGAATTACATTTATCAGAAAATGAATGAAGGATAATGGTAAATGATCCAGTCCTTGAAATAAAACAAAAAGTTAAAGGACAGCACAGGATATCTCTATCGAGTCTAATTACCCACCCATAAAATCCTGACATGAGGTCTAATTACATACATAAGTGAAAACATCTGAGTGGGCAGAAAATAAGTGTTGAACACTCTTCATAAAAGGTGGACCTTCTGGACCTTCATCAAGAATGTTCAGTGTTGAGCACTCTTGACGAAGGTCCAAAAGGACCAAAACGTAACTAATAAATTGTGAAGCTGAGCAAGAGCAGTGTGCGGTATTTTATGTTCAAAGACTCAAGTGATATTTTCCAATGCACCTGCATCTGCGAATATCTCTCTTTAAACAAGAAGGCTGAGGCTGAAATCTCAGGCCCTGTCTACATGTATATAGATATTTGTTTAAACTGATTTTTTCCTTTATGTTTTGGCCTAGTATCTTCACGCAAACATGATTTTTGAAAATGCCTTCTTAAGTGCAGAATTTTCAAAACTCCAGTTACTTTGTACCCATGTGGACATGTAAAATGGAGTCTTTGGGAAATGATTATGTCTCCTTAGTTCATGCATGTCCATTATTGCTATGTGTAATGGACCAGAAACAACAACGATGGCAGACTATCACAGACAGATTTTTTTTTAAACGGAGGGGAAAGATGGCTGTTCTCAAAAATATCCTTATACATGTAGACAGGGCCTCATACACAGGTGTCTCAAAACCTGAACACCTGAACAAACAAAACCAAAACTATATGCATCAGTACAGATCATCTATTTTTAATGAGTACCATTATCATCTGAGTAAAATGTGTCAATATCTGTACTCGTGATGATGGAAAATCTTCACTTGGATTAGTGTGTTCAGCTCTCACTCTTGTGATCAAAAATGATCTGAAGCTCAGTCCTGACACTGTTCTGTGAGTAGTTTTTAAATGAATAAACATGGCAAATTCTGATCAACCCAGATTAATTTCAGGTTCAAAATAAGAAGTTCTGATTAGACCACACGCCTTCCCAGATCATATCCCACCCACTTTCAGATTAAACATCACCCATCTCTTGTATAAATGCGGATACAGATAATTTAGTAAAGTGAACAGATACAAATACAGATAATGGTGTACTCACTTATCCCTCCGTTTAACCACACTGAACAGTAAATTAATCCCAGAAATTCGCAGTCTTAACCTGAACATTACTATTTTCATCTTCATACCTAACCTCAGCAATCTAAAGGTAGATTTCAGCCTCAATCTGGTTTGACCTCCTGATCACACTCTGCTCACTCATACATCTCTGAAGTGACTAAATTGAGTATTATGTAAAATGCAGGCATTTTTTGGCTCTCACCCTGCTCCTCTGCCGTTTGGATGTGTTTGTTGTAAAGGCGTTTACAGCCATCCAGCTCTTTGTCAAACATGGAGACGAGGAGGGGGTATCTGTCCAGAGCATCTGTGGCCACTAAGGGGCGCTCCAGCAAGCTACCAAACATATCCACAACCTGCAGACATCAGATAAGTGAAAGTACTTTCAGTGACTGTGTGTGTGCGTGTGTGTGTGTGTGTGTGACACAGGGAGATTAAGTTTTCAGACCTTGAAGGCATGCTCAAGTCCAGAGGCATCCTCAAAGGCCTGGCAAAAGATGGCTCCTAGTCGTCGGTCTGTGTCATCCACCTTAAGTTTGAACTCCCTCGCGTCTTCTTCATACTCCTGCAGGGCAGATAGCTTAGCTAGACCAACAGCCAAAAAACCACACAGCAGTGCACGCTAACGCAGAGCCAGCACAGCAAATTCCTTTTCACATCTCACTGACTCAAAGCCATCCAGCAGGGAGCACTGACTGGGTCTCACAAGCAAAGTAAATTGCTTTTCTTGCTATAACTCAGGAACATCTTGCTTATGCAACTAGATGGCACTGAAAAAAACACATCATTTCATTTGGGCAGAGATACAATTTGCTCCACAAACGCTGAAGTGACCAGAATGTGGTGGTGTTTGCCAGCCTGAAAAAAAGAGCATGTACTGAGAAGTATTCAGCCTGTGGCCTGTGTCTTGTATTTCATGGAACCTTTATGAAAATAAAATGTCCTTCAAAGTCGCTTTATAAAATTACAGCCAATTTTCCCAGCAGGCAAGTGAACAAAACTGTCATGCAACCTGTGATCCTAATACTTCATACCCTGTTGTCGAGGTCCAAGCAGTCATAAGGCTTGTCTGTGAACAATTTGTACATGTCCGCAAACTCTTGGTGGAGCAACTGGACCCGCTGGCTGAGCGCTCGGCCTCGGACGCCTCCAATTTCCAATTTCTCAAGCTTCAGCAGGTCCACAGCTGTAAACAGGATGTCCTATTGGGAAAAAGGAAATGGGAAACTAAGGGCAATCAAGCTAAACTACAGTATCACTGTCAAGACAGGTCTAATTTTCACAAAAGGCAAGTTTAAGCCAAAAACTTCAGACATTTCTCAATTATTCGCCACCTTTTGAGTAATGAAAAATGTTTCCATACTCACTTTAATGGTCCTGACTCTGTTGATAAAACGGTCAAGTCTGGAAAAGACCAACAGTGGGGAAAAGTCCCAAGGCCTCACAAAGCTCCCATTCCTCTGGTACTGGCTTAGATTGGCCCTCCGGTCCTCGTAGGTGCTCCTGAAGAGCTGCAGAATCTCCAGGCTCGTCTGCACCTTCAGGAGACTCTCTGAAATCTCTCCTTTCAGAACCTCCTCTGGGACTATATAAACCTGGGCCTGGTATCAGAAAGCAGTAACAGGTTAATTGTTGCTACAGTGTCAGATTAATTTAGTAATCCCCATTTCAAGAAAGCATTAGCATTTTCGTTTAAAAGTATGTACCTGTCCTGGGGCACCACAGCCTCGATGTTTTTTTTTTAAGACAGCAAGCGGTTACTGCTGCATCTGCCACCCACTGGCATCAAGATTCTATATTTTGGTTGGGCAGCAAGAGACTATAACTTGTTTTACAATGCAGCTTTTAGCTGCATCCACTCATAACAACTTGTACTAGGGGTGACCCCGAATAGTCGATGATTCAGTGATTCGATTCGGAGAAGTCTGATTTGACTGCCAGTCTCGCCGTCGAATCATCACAAAATGTGGTCATGAAGTCACCATTCTGACTATATGGGGGTGCTCACTGCTGCTCAACATCTTGATTTGACATAGAATGTATTTGTTTTCTAGTAATTCATGATATATAGCCTATTTTGATACAAACATCAGCCTAATTTCTGTTAATAAAAAAGTGAAAATGATGTGTGCGTTTAATCAGTAGGCATAATCATTACTAAGCATGAATAAATCACCCAGTCACTTGATCCAAATAAGCTGAGGTGAGTGAGTGCGCTGCAGGACCATCAGAGCAGCATCGAGGCCTACGGTGATTTACGGTGGCGGAGCGCATAAAGAAACACTTTGGAGGAGGTATGTGCTCTCAAATCAAACTTTTTACTTTTTTGAAGGATTATTTGTTTACCTGAAGTTTCTTGAAACGAATATCACGGCTGATTGTTTTGTTGATAGACTAGACGTTTTTTGAATTTTTTATTATCACTATGGGGGGAATCCGGCAGTGGGGATTTCAGCACCACGGACAGCACGCGTAAAAAGACTTGACAATCATCTCCTTTTAAATGTGTTTGCTGCTAGCAAAATTATACATAATAAATGAAGACAGTGACATATTTTCAATTAAAAACAATGAGTTGAACGTTCATTTCAACCTCTTGTAGTACAACGAATTTCAGAATTGTGCAAGTGCGGCCGGAGAGCAGGCGGCAGTGTTTGACGCAGGAAACTCGATATGGACTTGAAAATCAGTTTCAGAGTGGGGGTGGTTCGGAATGGAGGGCTGTCCCCGGCTGGGCAGCAAGTCTGCGCTCATCTAGAGCATCATACCTTGATGAAGTGAAACGAATAAAAATAAAGATAAAATGATAACCCTTTTACTTTTATTATTATTATCTTATTATGCCAACTGAAGAATTAAATTTGTTTATTTGGGTGTTTTAGCTCTTTTCTCTGGAGCGGAAACTGACGCAAATGAGCTCATTAATCAATGAGGGGGAAAACAACATGATTCGACAATTAGTCGGCTAAAAGAAAAATCTGTCAAATCAGATTTGACTATGAAAATTCTTAGTCGGGGACACCCCTAACTTGTACCATACACTGCAGCTATAGTGTAGATGACCTGGCTTAAACTCTTATTGTGTAATATGTGGGGTGGGTGACGAGATAAGGATTGTTGTTATCCTGACGTGACTTCAGCTAAAAGATCTGACACGATTCTGGCCAAACTGGGATATGTGAGGAGAATCAATTGTTCTCTGAGCTGGGTGTCTGAATGGAAAGAAATAACACTTGGAACATATCTACAGTACCTACAATGCTTTTTTTGTCACAATGCTTGTTTGTCATACACTATAAATTGTCATGATGAACCAAGTCTTTGGCTTTTTTGTGAGTAAACCCTCAAATGTACAACCCCATGTCTGAGCCTCTCTTATTTAAGTCTTGTTTATGCTACATACAACACAGCCAAAAAGAGCTGCTTCTTTATTTATTTATCTTCTACATGGATCATCAACTGGTGTGGATGCTATCTTCCTGCCCAGGACAAGTACTCAGCTTTAGCCTCAGTTTTTAGTATGATATCATGTATGAAACTATCAATTAGCCATTCTGAAGTCCTGTCCCTTTTTTCTTTGTGCTCCAATAATAGTTGAGCAAACTTCTGCAAAACCTCAGTCAACTTTTGCCTGACTTGAATTGACTTAAAAGATGTGGCTGCAGGCAACTTGTAGAAGCAACTGTCATCACATCTGAAGTTAGCTAATGTTAGCAAAATGCTAGCTAACTAACTAGTCAACATAAAGCTACATCAAGAGGAGTTGCCCTAATATCCGATCATCAGTGTCAGCCAGATTGGCTTTCTCCTTATTTCTGTGACATGTTAAAGAGATCTGGAAAACGCAAGATAGGTTGGTTGCTGACATATTTTTATTTTTAAAATGACATGAATTATCATTAGCCAAAAAGATTGAGGCTAATATTCCTTTGTTGGTATTATCTGTGTAAGGCTACTTGCTGTCCAGGAGTTACTTTTGATGTTGTTTGGATATGCACTTCCATTGCGTACTGTAGTCCTTCTAGTCAGCTTCTTGAGGCTTCAGTGCCTGACGCCCAAACACTATCTAATAAACACTGCAGCACAGAAAACCAGCATCGCCATGTCTCTTTTGGTCAAGCTTGTCAAACCTTGCAACAGTAACTAAGGGAGGCAGGACTTGGGATCTGTCAATTGCATTTTTAAGACTTGTTTACATTATTCTCTTTTCAAAGCAAGGACAATGAATCTGGCATTTTCATCCAACTCACAGAATAAGAGTTAATTAGCTAGCAAGTGACAGTCACCAGCTAAGAACCCAAAATATAAAAAATTCTATTGTATTCTATAAATCTGCATATGTGTCGTTCACAAACAAAAAGACGGACAGCTGTAGCAACAGGACAGGGCTTAGCAAGCAGTCATTTCAGGGAACTCAGATCACCATAAAATTCTGCCTACATCATTTTCCTTGGTGTGGATTCTGTGGTTGCCTCAGTCATACAACAAGCTGCAGCAGCAATCTGAAAGGAGTTCATCAAACTCAGACCACAGCAGCAAACAGTCGTGTGCATTAAAGAAAGCAGTAGTCATCTGTCGTATTTGCTCACCAAAACCACAGAAGCAAGACACTTCTTGGCTTTCTTGCAAAGAGTTAAATGAGAACATGGATACCACTCACTCGAGTTTGGAGATGATGAGCTTAGCTTAGCATAAAAACTAGGGGCAGAAGGAAACAACTAACCTCACTCCCTTCAAAGTTGAAAAATAGGAACTATATTCTTTCTACCTAACACCAGCCAATCGTTTCACTGCACAGAAGGAAGCGTGCATCTACTGCTAGCTCACCTAGCACCACTGAGCTAGCTAATATTACAGCTCAGCCAAGGAGGACACCATCAATGTTTACATCTAGCACTGTCAAAAACATGCGAATTCGATCATGAGTAGATGCATGCTTCCTTCTTTGCAGATTGATAAGTAGCACAAAGGGTAAGATGAAAAATATGTAAGTCTGTTTTGTATTTTGAGGTGAACTGTCCCTGTACAAAATAGTGCTGAGAGTGCAGATCCATAACAGTCCCTTAAAGTTCACAAATTAACATGTTATATTTTGTTTGTTTAATTGGATTACCTGGAGTGTGTGCCTGAATTGTCTCCTACCTCTAGTTACATTCTTAACAGAAAGAGACCTGATCTTGAGACCCTGTGTTTTTATCACAAGTATTTCAGTTAATACTGTGCTTACATGGTGAATGTTCCTTGAGAGGGGATATATTGCAAACATTTAAAACTGACACACAGCAAACCCAGGCAGGATGGTATTCCAGGTAGGATCACCAGTTGGTCTCTGGAGCTCTGAGCAAAATAAATTAGGATTGCGGTGTGGAGTCTGCTATGTGCACTGTGGGTACTGAAGCGCCACAGGATACATACACATCCCAAAAAGAGAGAAAAGCTCTGGGGAGGGTTGTGAATACGGGCCCGCAGCTGAATTTTGCCCTGGGCCCCCCTAGTGAGTTAATCCGACCCTGGTGGGACAGAATTTCTGGTACACTATACAATTCTGGCAGCAAAAACAAAGGTTTGTTTCCAAAACACCGAACACAAGGGAAGAAGGTAGAATAAAGAAACAGTGAAAGCCTTCATAGCTGAGAAGAATAAAGAAAAGTTCCACCCACAGACAGTAAAACTTCATCAACAGAAAATTCAAGAAAAGAAAATCTCAGTACCACCCACCCACTCTGTGCTGACAGGGGATCTCTGACAGTTCAGAAACACCACAACAATGATTCCTTAGCAACAAAGATTGTTACCATAAAAATAATACTGAAAAAGAAAGAAGCTCTTGGGATTGACACAGAGATTGACGACACAGAGACAAGAGTGCCGTTGACCTGTTGTATGAGGAGGTTGGCGGTCTCCTGCAGCAGAACGATGAGGCGTGCTGGGGTGTTGTAGTATCTGGAGTTGGCCCACACCAGGCACACTGTGTGCATCAAAGGGCCGATCTGACTCCTAACATCAGGAAACTCTGCGTTCTCCATGTCCTCAAACAGGCGCTGCAGGGGCCTCAGGTAGGTGCAGATGTCCTTTGCCTCCTCCAAGGCTGGTAAGTGAAGATGTGATCACAGTCAGTTCAACCACATATACTACATGTGAAAAAGTAAATGGTGATAAAAGAGTTCCTACACATTTTACATTTCAAAATGTCACTTATTCAGACTACTTCTTTGTGGAATTTTCAAACCAAATTTGAAATCTCAGTACAAACAGATGTTTATTATGGAAGTAAATGGATGTGAAATCCAACTGTTGACATGAACCGGTATGATACATTCTGACTATGTATGCTATTATGTTGTCAAATAATTGACAGAAAATTGTAGCTAGGCACTGTAGCTTAACATACTGAATAAATCATTTATTGTTCCCCCCATATTTTGTTTCTCGTTAATAAACAACTACCAAAAATGAGTTGAAAAAAAAGGTAAATTATTTTATTTTCAAGGCATCTGGACAACCTTGTTTATTTATTGTCCATGGAAACAATGAATTCAGACATACAGGTAATGTTTCCTTGCACTGACAAAATAGTACATTTTTGTGATAATAACAAATAATAACATCACTACATAGCTCATAAATGTTAAGACAAACTTTGCCTGCCTGCTCCAAACACCATGAAAAACACTCTGCATGTACGCTCAATTTATTTTTAGAAATTCTGAATTTTATATTTAGAAAACAGAACAGGGGCGCTGGTCTGGAAAAAAAAATCCTTCCAAACTCTGGTTTTTCCCATACTTATCCAGACCTCAAAATGACTAAAATCAAGTTTCATACTTTTTCAAACTGCGTAAGAACCCTGTGATAAATTATTGTAAATCACGTACAAGCCCGTCAACCTAACAACTGCTGCACCTTGGAAAGCAAGCCCTCATTTCAGTTCCCTCTTGTCAGGTGTACAGACTGTGTCATTACCTGCAAGGACATCTTGCTGCATATTAGTAAAAGCAGGGGAATAGCTGCTCTCCACAGCCTCCAACAGCACTGCCATCTTATTCACCTTTGAGGATTTTAACTGCGAGTGGATGCATTCCAGGTCTGCATATCTTCAAAGAGGAAAACAAAGTTTGCTATTACATTTCACCACTAGTTTGTGTTACACCGGCTACTTTTAAGTAAATTTCTAAATTTGTGAGTAAAGAGTCAGCACATTGAATCTGCATTGGTGACAATGCACAAGAAGAGAAATGGAAGTGAGGAAAGTAAACAAACAGCTAAAGGCAAGAGAGAGTGAGACCAAACAAACTTGTTACATAAGGCAAGATTACTTTTCTTTAGCCACTGAGCTTTAGCAGAGACATTCCATGATGGTTTGTGTTATTATTCACTGGCACATGGTAAATATATGAGTTGTTCTTTCAACATTGGATTGTGTTAATGTTGCTAGCTGGCTAACTAGCATTAAGACGGTCTTCCAGTTTACCTTTGTGCATGACCATAACAGACTACCGCTGCTGGTGTGGAGAGTTACTGGCAGAGCCATCTAGACATTTTTATTTTACTGTTAGTAAAGGTCTGATTGGTTTACTCTGGAAAATCAAATACTTTTTTTCTGTCAGGTCAAGTTTATTATTACGGAGATCATTCAGTTGTGCTTTTTACATTCTAAATTTCACAGTGTTTGCACAGGTGGCATTATTAAGTGCATGACGCATTCCCATATAGGACAGGACCTCTCAAATCATTATAGTAATTAACAAAGAGAGGGATATCAGAACTTTTTTAGATCTGTACATTGGTGGCCCTATTACATAATTTATTCAATTTAGTACTGAGTTCAAACTTCCAACTTTAATTTTTATTTTCTTTTTTTTATATTGTCAAGTCAGACACTACATTAAGGAAAAGTGCCCCCCCCCCCCCCCCAAACTTATCCTTTTCTCGAAAATGTTTTGCTACCTTCAGAATTCAAGCAGCTAATATCAAAATTTGTGAACTGTTTTAGTACTTGGTTTCTTCAGATCTTATTAGGGAAGCCTGGGGCAGTCACTTGAATTGAGTAATATCAGCAGCAATGACCCTGGTTCATTGTAGTTTTATTATCTTTGCAATGTGTTATCCAGTAAAAGATGATGAACATACTGCATCACTAAAAAACAAAACTTAACTGCATTTCCCCATTAGTGTCTCCCTAGTGCAACAAGTGCTGCTCTGCTTAAGGATCGCTTGTGCATCTTTCCTGGTTTTGCTGTGCATCATACAACTTTAGGACTATAACTTCAGAGTGACACTCAAAAGCAGATTTGTTGAGATTTGCTGCCCAGTCAGAGCCTGGCCATTTTTGGTTGCTCCGCAAGAAATTTTGAGTTGCTGTACAACATTCCCCTCACCTGGAAGTCTACCACTCCACCCTGCTTTGAACTTTGGCTCCGTAACATTATGGATAATAAAACATGGAAAGACTGCATCTGTACGAGCTCAATACACAGAATAGATTTGAGAGGATTAAGGGACCATTCTTGGCACAGTGTCATAGTACTCCACATCCATAGGGACTCTGATCTGCCTGTCTATATATGCAGATCTTGTGTTAAACTTGATTAATTTATTCATGTTACTTTACCTTGATCTTGAGCTGTTACTACTTTTACAAAATCTTTTAAAGACTATTTGTGTAATCTTGTTAATTGCACCACATCCTTTTTATTCTGTTCTGTTCCACTTTTATTTGTGTTGTAGTAGTATTTGTATTTTTTTTAAAAGTTTATAACAAATTACGGTTACAAGATGTGACAACAAAAACACTTTATGGTACCAGAAATTACTGTGGTCACATATGCCATCATTTTGTAGAGTCTTCAGAGTTTAGAAAATCATGAATACATATAGATTTTGTTAAGACAGACAGCATATTCTGAGTGGCATTTATAAACTATTTGGGGTATTATCATGTTGTGGAACTTCTTGCTTTTAAGAAATTAAGTTTTTCTCCCTGCCTCTCACATCGGGGGCTATTCAAAGAGCCAGTTCACCCAAATTACTACTAAAATTACTTTTTTTAGTTTTTGTCCAGGTTTGTGGGTTAGTACACAATTGACTCTAATTTGTGATGCTCACAGCACTTTATAGGAGCATTTAAAATTAAACATCTCTTTTCAGAATCTGTGCCAAATACAATGGAGCTGAATAGATAAAATAATTAACTATCTATAATTTTCAAGGGGATATTTTCTACTGAAGAAACAGAGAGTATGAAAATGTTCACGGTGAGATGACAGACTGAAATCTGTATCTGCATTGTACTGGGAGAATTCTCTGGTTGTAATTCAGTTAGTCCAACTGGATTGGATGCAGTCCATAACTGCATATGCTGAAGTTGTAAACAGATGGAGAACAAACAAGTTCTTATCAAACAAAAAAGTAGAGGCTATTGGTCTCATGAGATATAATTCTGCTATGTAAAGAAATAAAACACTGGGGTCCATATTACATATTTCACTTGATAGCACAGGTGTTCTGGATCTCAAATAATTAGTAACACCAGTAAAAACTTCTGAAACAATTCAACTTTCACATCCTGTAGGGACGTGTTATTTCCACACAATCACAGCTCTGGAACAAGTGCTTCTCAGAAGTTGCCAGTGGATATTCAGTGTCTGTATTAACAGAGGCGCTGACCTGTTCTTCCAGAAGAGCAGCTCTGTGTGTGGAGTGGGGTTTTTGCCCTCCAGCAGAGCCTCAGAGGAGTCTTTCTTCAGGACGGCGCGGATCTGATGGCTCCACTCAATCACTGCTGACTCCAAGGAGTGGATGATACTCTTATCCACAATTTCCCCCCTGTGAGGTTTCACAAAGAAACCATTTACTTCAGACGTGGGACAACTGATGCATTGACATGAACCTTTATGTCTCATGTGTTTGTTTACCTTTTGTCCATCTCCAAAGCAGCTTGCTCTACTCTCTCGGAGCCTGCAGGGAGAGGCAGCAGCGTTTTGCCTTGGACTTGGCCTGACACCACAAACACATTGGTCTTGAGGGAGTGGACATGGCGTAAGACGTCCTGACACACAACCTTGGGCCATTCAATTTGGTTTTTGCTGTTAGACAGCAGTGGGGCCACAACCTGGAGGAGCATAAGGAAATCTGAGTTTTCTCAACATGGAAAAATGTTTATTTTGGAGTAGAAGTTTGATGCATAGAGTGGTAAGAACGTATTTACATCTGTTACGTCAGTGAAAGTAGTCATGGTCAAAGTTTTGTGTTCTTGGTCTACTTTGAGTACGTATCAAAAGTATCAGTACCATTGTGCAACAGAATGAGCCATGTCAGTGTTATGTTACATATTATTAGTAGTAAAAGAGGGAGGATGGCTGCATTGATGGATTATTGAATGGGCCTATTCTGGGCTAGCCTTGCATCACCAGGCTCTTCATGTACGGGTAAGAGCCTGGTTTCCATTCACTCTGAATTTTGTCTGGATTCTGGTTCCAGTCTAGAGAGCAGATCCGGAATTCACCAAATTCACCAAAGTAAAAGTGTTCACCAAAGTAAAACTTTAAATTCTGGTGATTTACAATAAAAGAAAAAGGTTAATTTAATGGCTTGGGGCTTTTCTTGTAAATTATATTCTTTAAATTAAAAAGTTTCACCGCATTTTTATTAGCTTGGTGCTTTATTTTGACGGAAAGGTGCATCCATCGAATCACGGATCCTGTCTCTCTTGCCCTGGTTCCGGGTCCTTACCAAACCGGCCACTAAACGGCCCCAGACTAATTCTGAGCACAACTCCAGGGGCCCAAAGTGTAAGGGCCCCCACTGGCATTCACCCGCAAAATGTCACTCAAATTACCTTATACCGACCAGGAAGACACTCAAAATGACCACAGAAAGATGCAAATTAACTACAAAGAAACACAAAATTACCTCAAAGAAACACAAAATGTTTACAAAGAGACACAATACCACCACAATGGCTGCCTGGCTTGATAGGGTGTACAGTATACATTTGTTAGCAGATTAAGTTTCTGTTTGTGAGTGCTTGTGTAGTTTCTAAAAAGGAAGGAATTATAAACAAAATAAGACAGCTCAATACAAACTGTTAAACTCAAACAGGTTGGCTGGCTTAATGTACCACTATGCATAGTGCTGCCACAATGTGGAACCTTGAGACCAAAATGGCGCCAGCTACGCATATTAAATCATCCTACAAAAAAGAAACAGCTCCACAGGTGGAAGCTAATTGCTCTTAAGTGGGCCTAATTAGCATTACCAGCAGTAATATTAGCCGACATAAAAAGACACCAAGAATGGTCTTTGAAGGGGATGAACAAACATTAAACGATATTAACAGGTGACTTAAAGTACTTACAGCTCAATGGACGTACACAAAAGTCAAAAACAAAGACAGCCACACCCGTTTTGGAATCAATTGGCTACACTAATGGAAGTTTCCAGAAAGTTATCCTGCGGTCCTTGCCTCTGCGCTAACTACGCTGAGGAGACGGGTCGTACCAAAGAGGGCGGGGGGGCGGAATAGTCCAAGTAGAGCTGGGCTATATGGAGAAAATCAAATATCAGGATATTTTTTTACCAAATATCTCGATGTCAACAATGCGACTATACTGGTTGACTACTGATGCTTTCCCAAAATATTTACACAATGAGATTTTCGATAAATAATCATCATTAATGTGGATATGATGACTAAGTGGTTAAAGACGAACAATGATAAGATAGAACAGTACTGGTATTTTCAGAAAATTACATCACATACACGCAGCCATTAAAACCGGGAAAAAACATTTATGATATTGATACCCAAAATCAGAGACGATATCTAGTCACATATCAGGATATGAATATAATATTGTTATATTGCCCAGCCCTAAGTCCAAATAGTGCTGCCCTTTTTAACAATTGGATTAATTGATGTTGTAGCTGGCTGAAGTGGCACTGAGCTTGACTATTGTTTAATCTGTAACATCATAATTTAAAAAAAAATCATCATGCTTCTGTATGCAAAACCTTCACGTTTTCACAGCAACAGTAGCTGTCTGATAAATACAATCAGGCTGGATTATGAACAGGAAATGTAAGCAACTGCACCGGGGCCCCAGACCCTCAGGGGGCCCGAAGGCTCCAGATCTCTGTGTGGTAATGAATTTGCGATCATGTAATTATTTGCAAATGTGCTTAATAGGCCTACTTTATGCACCACCTAATGTTGGGGGCCTTGAGGTAATCCAACCCTTCTTTTAAAAGGGCCCTAATTAAGAATCTAGTTTTCTAGTTTTTTATTATTTTAGTAGTCCATATGTTGTGCTAATGTAACCTGGTTTTCTTTCCAAGTTCATCTTACTCAGCTATGTTGTGTAACTGACCTTTAGATACCATACTAAATAATATATCTTTAGTTCACTACATTATTTTTAATTACTCTAATAGCTCTTATTTATTTTTCATGGGAAGCACTTTTATAACACAATATGGCGACAGAGGACAACAACGAGAGTTACAGTTGCAGGTGTAATGAGTGCAACAGTAATACAGTCTGATATGAACCGAATAAGTCTGAAGTTGTGTTTTATCCCAGGCTGTGATTGTGTTGATGAAAGATTATTGGAAGACAAACTGTATCCAGGTTATTACCTGTCCAGAGTGACTGGAGAATGTCACCCATTAAGAAAGAATGGTTACACTTAGATGGTGCATTTCATTAGATACATTTGTGCTTGACCCCTCTCAAAAATGTTAATAATAATACAATTGTTCAAAGTTATTAAAAGGTACCAATCGAGTTACTGAAAACCAGTGAAAGAGGTATCTTTAGTCAAGGGTGTTAAAGGCACAAAAGGGTTTGTCTGCCCCTACACTAGGATTCCTCTCTACATGTAAGTAGAGCCAAGTGAGTGACTGCTAAGGGGTGGTACCCATGACGTGTTTTTTGGGCCCTCAAGTTTATTGTTTTCAATGTAGACGTGCGGCAGGTGCAGATAAACAGAGTTCAACTTTTGGAACGCAGCAACACTGCAAGTCATGTGATGAGGAACAACCAATCACAGCTGACAGATATATTTCCCTTCTTCCATTAATATCAGTCTGTGGTAAATGTAAAGAGGAAGTTGATCATTTCAATGCAGGGCTACACAGAGCTTTACACTTTTGCCACGGACAATATTTTTGGTCTAATATACATTTACAAAACGCCTGAAAGAAGATCAGCTCTGCACTCAGGATTTCAAGTAAGTAGGCTGTGATATAGTGCCGGTTATGGTGGCTTAGAAACCCCAGGCGCAACTTTAATGTCACCTAAATAAAATATATATGGATAGGCCTATACAAAAGTGTGATCAGCCAAATATATTTAAGGTATCACCTGTGAAAGTTGTGATTATGAAGAATGGCCCCTTTTAAAGTGTTATATTACTGCACACTTGACACTTTTGTTTTAAAAGTCTTATCTCTTATCTGGTCAGAATGAAGCTCATTTGCTTGCTTGTAGCTACATCTGTAAAATAAATGTAAATATTTCCCTCTAGTGAAGTGGAAATTTAAATCACCTACCTTCCACCACTCCCACAAACTGTTTGCAAATTAGACACTGATGCAGACAAGGTGTTGGGGTGGGGGGGGTGCAGAAATGAAGTGGACTACAAGCATAAGAAATGTAAAATAGTTAAGTTACTTAAAAGTTAAATACGATTTATGAGTACATTGAGTGAATGTATTCTGTTACGTTACAGTTAGCCTAGTGAGTGACAAAGTTTAAAAGTCCACACTCACAGCTGAGCAGCTTCACTGTGGCTGAGAGACAAACTTGGTCATGTTGTCATGTGAGCCCCCTCTCCATGCATCTAACAATAATTAACAGCTCTGCTCTGCTGCTTGCTTACCTCCTCAACTAGAGCAGAAAAGTGATCCAGTGGAGCGTAAGACAAGTCCCCGTAGACCAAGTTGTCCTTCATGGACTCTAGACGTAGCGCTGTCCTGCTTTGCTTCACAAAGTACACCGCCTTGCTCTTACAGCCGGCTGTGAAGCCTGCGGCGGGCTGTAGCAACCCGGCCGCGCTCACAGACACCACCAGAGTCCTCCGCTCGGCGCTGTCCAAAAACTCCTGCAGCACCTGCCTGTTGTCCTCGCTGGACACGCACTTCTGCCATTTGTCTTGTTTCAGTTTGAAAGTCCTCAGCACATAGTCTCCTATAAAGTCCAGTCTTGCGTCCTCCATGTCCGCGGGTCGCACTGCTGCCGTCCCGGGTCAATCCTGGAGAGTGTGTGAACTGATTGTGTCTCGGCCTCCATAGTAACGCAGTGTTTGCATTAATCAGGCCGTCGCTTAGGGGACGCGAGCGACCTGGGGCTGACCCAGGACCGGGACATCCCTCTGTCTGTCCACCTGCTGACTGATACCCATTGTTCCCCTGCAGCCTTTTGTTTGACTTTCACTGGGAAGTTATTGTCGAAGTGTGGCCACTAGAAGCTATTAGTTAAGGTGATTTAAAACCATTATGTTCCAATCACAGCCCCTGCATCTTCATTCTGTTCATGTCTTCAAATATATTTCATCAGGGCCGTAATCACCTATTTAACGCTGGGGGGACCATTTTCAATCAACACCTGACTGACCTCGGGGGGAATTCCCCCAAGAGATATTTGTAGAAACCTTACAGCTTAAATGGGCGTTTTAGAGAATTTTGGGGGAAATAAAGCTTAGATTAGGGGTCCCTAAAGTTTGGTGACTGAGTGTCATTTTAGGGAGCCAGCGTATGATTAAGGGTGCACAGGAAAAGTGCACAGAGTATGACATTTGTATGACTTTTCTGTGGCATACTATAGCCTACTATGACTTTTTATGATTTTTTTTAACCTAGTAACACTTTACAGAAACTATAACAAGTCTACATAACACTGTCATTACATTCTAGTTTTCCACTTTTCAATACATTTGAAAATAATGAAATAAACAGTACAGTGCTTGACATTGATTTTTATCTACCCACAGCCAGTGGCGTAGCACCAAATTCAGGGCCTTGTGCATAGTGTCTGTGTCTCTCTCATGCACCTCTTGTTTTGTTTTTTACAAAGTCAGTTTGCTTCTTTCTTTTGTTTATTTGGACCTCTGATTATATTTATTGGGGAAAGCCATGACAGTGTACGTTGGTTCTCTAGCAACATAAGCATTCACTTACTTGACTCTGTATCAGCGTCCGTTGATAAACCAAGACAGCCCACTTTAGATTAATCTCCTGTATCTGTGTCACATGGTTTCGCCACTGCCCTGCCCAATAAAGAGACTAGTGGCGGCCCTGGTTAATTCATTCCAATGGGAAAAGTAAACCTGAGTACAGATTCTGACTGTTTCCTTCACCCCATAGTCCCTGATGTAAATATTGTATCCATTTTTCACGAGCCCTAACCCGTCTAGACATTGAAATGGCTTTTTCCAGACAGACGAATCAGCAGGAAATTAACTTTGTTCGAGACCTGTCTCTATTTTATCATCATACGCTCGCGAGATCTGGTGACAACTGACATGCTCTTACACTAGGTTAATATGAGATGTTAAGCTAGCAGATAAAAATGAGTGGCAAAATAAGGAATGGACATTAAATTTGTACTGTGTATAGTGTTGTATTGTTTTGAATCTGATTTCATCCATCCACACGTTTACTACACTTCCAAACAAGTTAGATGATGTGGCAGAGAGATGACTACGCCCACTAAGGAGACGGGAAGTGTATACTGTTTCGTGCCATTGGCGCAGCTTGTCATGGGGTATCTGGTGTTATAGAGTATCTTTGGCTGTATTTAGACACAAACCCTACAGTACAGAGGCTGACTAAACTATTTTACTTTAAGGGGTGTGAGGGGCCTCAGAGAGCCTCCACTATGTTTTTAATACAAAGTTCAGTTTGTCAACCCATTTATAAAAATTATCACAAATGGCCTACGTATTTTTAAAAATACGTAGGCCTATATGAAATTGTGGTGATAGCTCATATTTCAGAATAATTTGCCCAAATGAAATAACAAGCACACTATCAGGAAGAGAGGAAAAAAGGGAAGTGAAATAAAAATAAAATACTAAGCTACGCAGGGTAGAAGCAAGTAGGAAAAATGTATATATTAATGGAGGAAAGTGAATAGAGAGCAAGAGCAAATTTCAAATATTACAGATCTTAATGACATACATTTGTATCACTTTTTATAGTTTTACATCCATGTTCCCCAGCTATGTTAACTATTGATGTCATTGCATTCAGATGTCAGTTTTGAAGACTTAATAGTGTGAATCAGACAAAGAGAAAGGATGCATTTTTTTTTTATTACACAGTAACAATGAAAAACTGCTCTAATACAACAGTAGTGTCCCACTGTACCAACAAAAGTGTCCCATTCTCCCAGAAAGTTGCACTGCAGCTAAAATGTGTGTTAGTAATATGTTTTTGAATCAAGTCTACTTTTCAGTTTCACTGTAGCTATGTTGGTGAGGACATATTTCAAAGAAAAAAACATCACTTTAGTGAGAAATCAGTAGTTGACAAAAGGCTGTATTCTTCTTAAGTCAACATCATTAGCTTCATCATCAGCCAGTGGGAATAATGAGAGGACAAACAGAAGACAAAACATCTTATCAAGTAAATATTAGCCTATATTGTTAATACTGTTAATGAAACAACCTTTTATCTGAGTGGTTTGGTTGATTGAGAAAGATGTGGTTTTCACAGTTAGCCTCAAGGTGGCACAACTGTACTGAGAACATCTGGCCTGTTCCATGAAGCAGTTAGCTCGTTACTTTGGTTTTTAAAAATCAGTACGTGTTTCAGATTTGACTGGTTCCTGTTTTTTTTTTTCCCCCCAACAAAGATGTCCAGAAGCTAATAACTAATAAACCAGTTTCCAATCTGATCTGAAACTCTGAACAATGATACAAGTCCACTGATCAGGGTTCAGACCCAGTTGTAAGTCTCTAGGTTGTGTTAGGGCAGACCAACAACATCATACTCACTCAACTTGCAAAACAAGTGCAAAATACAAGTTTAAGAGCATTCTGGGGTTTTCTGGAAGTACTCAGCTGTGTCCCTTTTGTTCCCCTGTGAGGAATGATCAAACTACACTTGTAAAGTCTGCATTCATCCCCATAAAGCTGTTTAGTAGAATTTGGCTGCAGCAAACACAATGTGTGTGTAATCTGTTCAGTACTCTGATGTGGGATGAGAAACAGGATTATGAGCAAATGTTTTCTTTTCTTCTTCTTGTGTCTCCTGGAGGTGCAACTCATGGTGGAGCATGATAGACCTCTGAGGAAGGAGTGTGTGTGTGTGTGTGTGTGTGTGTGTGTGTGTGTGTGTGTAAGAATATATGCATGCAGACTGGAAGGTGTGAGTCACTCAGATTGACCAGAAGCAGCAAATGAGGAGGTTCAGTTCCTCTGAATGACTTTGAAGATTAAGATGACAGACCAAAGAGAACCATCACAGCCAGACTTTCCATTTTAGAATCAAACAAGCTGCCTGGTCACTGATATGACGGAGCTGCTGGCTACATCCAGCTGGGTGGCTGGACACTGAAAAACATAAACCATGAACGTCTGCCTCACCATGATCTTTAGATCAGCTAGGGGGATTACAGTAAGACTGTTGCTGCACAAAATGGCAGCAGGGATTGACAAAGTTTGGCAATTTGAAATTGAACATGTTTCCACACAGTTCCTGCCTCTTGAAGCAAGTTTGAAGGGACAGTTGACTCCAATATCAAAAATACACATTTGTCCTCTTACCTGTAGTTTTATGTCTAGATCTGCATTGTCTTGGTGTGAGTTGCTGAGTGTTGGAAATATTGGCCATAGAGATGTCTGCCTTCTCTTCAATATAATGGAACTGGATGGCACTCGGCTTGTGTTGCTCAAAGTGGCAAAAGCAATAATATTTGAAAAACTCAACAGCAATGTCTCTCTCCAGAAATCATGACCTGATTACTCAAGATAATCCACAGACCTTGTTGTGAGCAGTTTCATGTAGGAACTATTTGCTTTCCACTGAGCTACACCCACCAACCGCATCACCACGCAGAAGAAGTGTGCATCTACTGCTAGCTCACCTAGCACCACTGAGCTAGCCAACGTAATAGCTTAGCCAAGAAAGATGCCATTAATGCTTACATCTCTTGCTGGCAGTTGGCAGGTGTAGTTTGGTAGGAAGAATTTAGTTCCTCCATGAAACTGCTCACAACAAGGTAGGTGTATCCTTTTACAACAGATATCTAATGAATTACAGTCCACAAATGGCATGACTAAAGGTTACATACTTAACGTAAAGTTAAGTAGATTAGCCACAGGAAAAAAACAGTGACAACAGACCTTAAAATAAGCCAAAGTTCACTTGGTTTCACACAGTGCCGAGCACCAGTCTCCCAGGGGAAAATCCTGTGTTGTTTGACCCATCCACTAACTCAGCCTGCATCCTTACACAGACTTTTGCTCTTTGTACTTCCTGCTTCTTTACTTATTTCAGTGCATTGGTCACATGATCGCAGCCTTCCTGATTACACGGGTTATACACAAGTTGTGGTGCATTGCTTTTAGAGGTATACTATGAATAGTGCATGAGAACAGCCTGATAAAGTCTGTGGATTATGTTGAGTAACCGGGTCATGATTTCTGGAAAGAGACATTGCTGTTCAGTTTTTCAAATTTATCTTTTTGGCACTTTGAGCACTACAAACTGAGTCCCATCCAGTTCCATTCTAATTGAGTGAAGGCAAACATGTATACAGCGATATCTCAAACTCTCAGCAACTCACACCAAAACAGTCTAGCTGATAAATAGTACCACAGGTAAGAGAAAAAATATGCATTTTTGAAATTTGGGGTGACATTTAAAATGTCTCACTGGGTGTAACAGAGATTGATGCATTGTAACATGGGGTTTTTCTGACCATCCCATCATTAAGTCATTATCAGATGTGAATATTCATTTCACCAGTTGATCAGTAGGAACACATTTGTTAGTACAACACTGTGAAATCTGTTGCACAATCTGTGTTTAGTTAAACACAGATTTGGTTAACTTAAATAATTATTCATTTCCAATACTGATATTTATTTAAAGTCAATTGGCCATCCATTTCCCTGGAATGCTGCCATTCACTTGAGTTGAGTAAACCTTAATTTAACAGAGACCAGACTTTTTGTTTGAGTTCATGTGAGAATAATTAAGATACACTCAGCTGCTAGTTTATTAGACACCCTAAACTAAAACTAATACAGTCTAAGACAACAGCCCTGCAACGAATCCTCCCATCATAAAAGTTAGAATGTTCGGTTTTTGTTAAAAGTGTTTTAGAGAGGCATTTATTCATCTTTATTAACAGTAGTTTTAAATGTGATATGTTGCTTTTCATGCTATTGTACTT